ATGTTTCACACTATTCCATGCAGAACAATATTCTTTAAGAAAAAAAAAAATGCAATCAACAGAAAGGCTAGAGAAAGAAACTTAGAAACTCGTTCTGGTTTTCTTTAAAGGACACGTCAGACAACTTTCTCAGATTCTCCTCTGAGAATCTTCCTAGCCAGAAAATCATGAAGATGACTTTGGAATTTCAGGCCCGATTACTGCTCTCTCATTTTCTCCATGGATCACTGGCAAGGTGAGGAAGTTATGTCCAGTAAGTCAACCACAGAGTAAAAAGTAATCAAAACAGGCCAATACCATTTCAGCGTTGTCTCTTAGTCAAAATACCCACAATCATTTTCAGTTTAGAAAACAGAAAAAGCTCTTTCTTACTCTATTTACCTTCTATAATTGTCTTTAAAAGATTCACATTAGATTTGTGAAAGAAATTCAAATTTTAGCACTTTTATTTCAATCCAAAAGAACTAGGAGAACCGAGCAACCCTAGAACCTTCTCTCTAACATAGCCACAAGGTTGAGCAGCAGGCATTGACATCTCTACAGTTGTCCACAGATGCACGAAGTCTGAAACTCGCTACCTTATTCTTATATTCTTGGACTGTATTTCTGTGAAAGAATGGACTAATATTTACTAGAAGAAATAATATTTATTCCAGTTGACAGCACAGATTTCTTGCTTGTCAGAGAGAAAAAGTACTCCCTCCCCAAGTTACGCAAGTGGATTTTTCAAACCTCATGACAGAAAATCTTCATACCGGCCTCACCTAGGAAATGCACAGAGATCCTTAATCTCAACAGCTGTGCACTTAGTGTTAGGTTACACAAGGAGCATTCCTACTGTTTCTGATGAGGTATTTAGATCAGAATTCATAGTTCTCTGTGGGCATATCTGCATTAAACGTATGACAAATAACATTATATACAAACTTAACCTGCACTTTAAAAGAGAGCTTTGATGCTGGCATGATGCTGTTTTGAAAGACATTTAGTTCCACTTTCAAAAGCAAACATATAAAACAAAAAAAGAATAAAGCCTAAAATAACAAGAATATATTTTATTTGCCATGTTTTGCATTAATCAGGCAAGCAATACTTTTATTTTGCAAAAGCAGAGTTCTAACCAAGATGACCTAAGGATATGAGACAAGTGAGGTATAGGTAAAGGCACAGCAGATTTTTTGAAAAATGTCTGTGTTGATAACTCCAATTTAAAGTATTTACACATAGCTAGATGTTCAATCTTTGCACATTCAAAAATATCGAAACACTTAAACAAGTTTAACAAGGTTAGAAAGGACTTACTTTTATTGTAGCAGGTTGCTAGTACACCTTTATCTGCAGGACTGGTACTAATGTGCCAAATTTCACCCACTTGATGAAGGAGAACGTTTTTGTTTATAATGTTATTTTCATCATCAAAATCTATGATGTGAATCTGCAAATACAATAAAAAAAGAACATTAGGGTTTCAAATGTTTTCCTGTGGGTCTTAATTATACATGATGACTGCACAGAACAATTTAATGAGAATTTTATAACCGATATCTACTTTAATTAATTGTCATACTAACAGTTTAGTATATCATTGATTTCATGCAGGATACAATTTTCTAGAAAAACACAAGCAATTTCCCTATTTTGAGGAAATACCATGTTTATTCTTTTCAATTTTGCAAATTAAAGCTTGAAGTTGATTTTTCATTTTATGGCTAATAGTAAATAAGCCACTCGTATTGCAATTCAACACTTCTTATAGCAATAAACAGAAATAACAACATTAGAATCCTTAGTGTAAATGTCTGCACCAATTCTGTATCCAAATCATCGAATTCAAACATCCTACGAAGAAAGAAGGGGAGAGAGAAGGAAAGGACTCTAATTTGAAACAAATACTATAAACTCAGTAAGAAACTTTGAGAGTTCACTTCAGCAATCACATCTGTACCAATATATATATCTGTAATATTTTTTATACTATATGGAAAAATAAAACGTTGAACTGAAAGATGAAGAAAAACAATAATGTTTAAATATATAGATAAGATTATTAAAAGACATACAGCTAGGTTTGCTTTTTGTGATTTTGATTTTTGTTTGTTGCGGGGTTTTTGTTTGTTTGTTTTGTTTTTAAATAGGCCTACGTTACCCTCATTTTTCCTCCCTATTTTTAGTTAGTTGTTTTCCTATAGTTGCCTCAGAAATAGAAGAAGTTGAGAAAGATTCTAGCCTGGCACAACACACGCAAGTAACTTTACTCATGGGACTAATTCCACTAAGCTCAACAGTGAACAAATAAATTGTAGAAGACCCACAGTTTTCAGAGAACTGTATCCTCATTAAAAATTCATTAGCAAAGTTGGGTGAACAATGAAGAGGAAAAAAAACCAAGAGACATCCTATCATAATGACTGAATTCATTCTACTGAATTAACTACTGAATCACTGCAAAAATCTTAGCTACCTAGTATTACAGAAAATTTTCTTAAAATACAGACGCTGCTAAATAGGTCTCAACTTAGTCTAAATTGGTAATATTAGACACACTTTTTTTTTTAAGGGCTGAGCTTACACGTTACATTTTTCTTTCCCTTCCAAATGCTGTCATCAGCAACTCCTCCTTCAAATATAATGCTGGATCCTCATCACCTCTATTGTTCTTCCACTCTGTCATCCAAAGCATATAAGCAGCTCTGCAAGCTGATTAGCAAGTTGTCTTTTCAAACTTCATTTGTTTCCCTGAACCTAGAAATCTACCCAGAAGTCAGGACACTATCCATCTACCCCACCAACTGCATAACCATCTTCCTGTCCAACTTAAAGAGTGACCCTCCTGCCTTTCAAAACTCTCCAGAGTAACATCACTTAGACTTATCTATCGTTTCACTTTATTTTGGCTTTCTGTACATCCCCTCTCTGATCTGTTCTCTGTATCCTGATTCAAGAGCTTCTGTCTATACAGAAAGCTCTTGCTCGTTTCATCATTAAAGATCAGTTTAACCTCACACCTTGTTTTCTGTTTTTTTTTTAATAAAAATTTAAAGACATCATCTATTCAGCCTTCTATGCTGCTCTAATCATTTTGGTGTTCTGAATAAACTTACAACTCAAACCATTACAAGTCAAACAAACAAACTTTACAAGCACAGAACTGGAAGGTAAAGAATAGCAACATATTCACACCTCTAAGGTAAAACATTTTCAACAGACTCATGGCAAGAAGAGTAACTCCTGTTGTTATTTTTACACAGCAAAATACTGATAATTGGCTTTAGCATAACAGAGAGAAGGGGATCTCTGAAATTTACTGAATCAGGTATGTAAGAGAGAAACAGCATGAAATATGTGAAGATGTTGTAGTTTAAAAATTAAAAGTTATTTTAGTTTCCCATGTAAGGCACAATCAGATCTGCTAAACATGCTTGTTTTCAACTCTCTCTCAGGAAAAAAAAAAAAAAAAAAGGCAAAGTGGGGGAAGGCAACCTTCCATTGGAGTCACTGGAGTCTCCTTTGGCAGCTCAAACCGAGACCCTGAAGGTGAACCGCAAATCTAAATCCCATTTATTACAGTCACACACATTCTCTACCCACACTAACCAGGTTAAGAGGGTCACTCAGCACATGAGCTAAGGGAGTGCTCTTTACCCCATCTGAAGCCCTTTGAAGGCACAAATAACCAATTTCTCCTCTGCTGTTATGTTTCTGCTCCAGCTATCATGGATAGCTGGAAACTGCTGGAATACAGAGTTAACCGATTAAAGGTCCAGACTGAGACTTTTAGGAAATATGAAATTTAGTGCTTATGCAAGGATATTATTTGTACCCTTTTGAGTTGAAAAATTATATCTTTCACAGCTATGCCAGACAACACAGTCTACCCGAAAAAGTTGATCAGCTTAACAGAAAGAACTGCAAAAGTTCCCCCAATGTTTTTCTGCTAATGACCTTCTTAATCATGTTGATTTGAATACATGATAAATTGTATTTATCATATGGAATAGTGACTTTGCTAAATACTAAGGACAAAAGAATTTTCATAGAAAATGTACCAAATACTGTACCAGTGCAATGCCATGAAGACAAATATTTGCAGAAAGAAATATTCACCTATAATAACTGTCTGAACAGAACTGGACAAACTTCAGTTCTGTGGGGTGTTATCCTTCGGTTCTTGAATCATGATCTTTCTAACTTTTCTTGATGGAGTGCAGAAATGAGCTTTACCATGGATTAGTTAGTGCAGCATATGGACACCATAGATGAGGATCTAGAAAATGGTGAGTGTAAGTAAGCTAAGTCCACACAGAGAACTTTCTCAACATGACTGTAGTGTAATGGTTAACAATACATGTAATCATAGCTCTTGTGGAACACACCTCTTAGAAGTGACTGGTTTTATTACCAGTAACTACACAAATCAGTTACTAATCTGCTCTAATTACACTGGGAAAAATTCCCACTGAACACAAGTATAAATATTAAGGAAAAAGTAGTGAGATTTGAATGAGAACAAATAACTATTTAGTTCTCCTCAAAATCTGGAGGAATTACTAATTGCTAAGGAAATTACTAAGGAAGGGAGACTAAAACTAACCAGTTTCAACACAAAATATTTCTTTCTTCAATTATGCAATCTCCATAATTTATTCTCTTTCATCGGGCACTCATGGGCAGCAGAGACTGGAGACTGAGGAACTGTTTTAGTTCAGCCAATACCCTGCTTTGTGACTATATAATGCCATGCATTAAGGTAACCCATGAAAATAAGTATTTTAGATTCTAACACACAAGACTGAAAATAACTTGGAGAGTTCTGAGAATGAGAGAGATCAGAAAAGAATAAGTGATGTATACTTCCTTTATATGCTTCCAAAGCATACAGTAAATGCATCAAACTAAGAACAGTATAAAAAGCCAGTTTAGCAACAATGAAAGTACTGAGGACTACAGTTCTAAATCTACACTGTGTAGAACACACATCTTGCATCAAAAAGAAACCACTTAAACAATTTCCTGCAAGTTATGAGGACCAAATGCCAAGTACTACGCTGTTAATATCTCAAATATTGACAGAATATAAAGTCTTCTAAACATTTTTCTTTGCTTTGAAATACCAGTGTTAACAGCAAAATATTTTCACTAGATCTCCTATGAATGCCTAAATTGCTTCATATAGCAATAAACCCCAATGATGCAGAAGTTACCATGCCAGCTGTGCAACTACTGCTCTTTTATTTGCACTACACCTGTCCATGACCAGAAGGAAAGAAATACTCTGCACATGATGGCGCTGCATAATAAACCTCTCGCTATGCAGCACTTGGTCAAGCACTAGAGGTTGCAAGCCACTCATGAGTTAGGTTAGCTAACAATAAAAGTTTTTAAGCAAATCTAGAGAACCTAGTGCTGAATTAAGCAATAATGACTTGAGGCCTACGGCACTTCTTGGGGATTAGCAACTAGCCGAGAGGAGCTGATGGCCCGAGGCACAGCTAAAGGCCAATAACCCCCAAACATTTGTTAATACCCTAGGAAGTGTCCTGCATTTCCATTATTAATGTTATTCATTGGAAAAAGAAAAGCATACTCAATAAAGTTGAAATATGTGTATATAGAGATATTTCTAAAATATGTAGTATATGCCCAATCAACTTACCTAAATCAAAACACTTAAATTATTGAAGATCTGCTGGATATCGACTGATAAGTGAGTATCATACTTCAACTACAATTTTGTATCAGGATTTAATTAGTTGAACCAAGAATTAAAAAAACACATGGAAACCACAATAGAAAACCACATTATAACCAAATGACTGAAGACCATTTGAGACAGCACAATCAAAAATATCATTTTGTGTCTTTATTTTTAACTAAGTTTGTCCTGCCACTTCTTTTGTTATTGGTCTCACAAGTTATACCTGAAATGTAAAGAAACCGAATATTCCATCCCCCTTATGCCTTTGAATAGATTTTTCCTTGAGCCTCATCCAGTATTATCACTGAGTAATAAACTCAAAACCTCACTGGGAATTGACAGTTCACATCTCCCAGAGCTATGGTTCCGAGTTCATTTTGTACAGCCCATTACAGACCAGTTTCAGAAGAGTCGGTGACTGTCTCCACTCTAGGAGCTTCTATGGTGGATGTCAGCCTTGGCTAACAGCCAGACTCCCACCCAGCCACTTGCTCCCCCCTCAAGCAGGACAGGGGGAGAAAATGGGAAGAATAGGAATGGGAAAGCTCATGGTCCAAGCTAAAGACTGGGAGATCACTTACCAATTACTGTTGTGGGCAAACCAGACTTGACTTGGGTAAATTAATTAATTTATTGCCAATTAAAATAAAAATGTAATTACTAATTTGGGTTATGGGAAAGAAAAAGACAAACCTTAAGCCAGCCCTTCTCTCCCCCCTTTCCCAGGCTTAACTTCACTCCAGACTCCTCTAACCCCCTTCAAGCGGCGCAGGGGGTTGTGGGGCAGAAGTGGTTATGGTCAGTGCATAGCATTTTCTCTCTGATGCTCTTTCCATCTCACTCTTCTCTCTTCCAGCATGGGGTCTTCATGGGCCACAGTTCCTTCAGGAACATCCACCTACTCCGGCACAGGTGCTCCACAGGCTGCAGTGGATACCTGCTCCACTATGTAGTGCCTTCTGTTCCTCCTGACCTTGGTCTTACCTCTGCCGTTTCTCAGTCTTTGTTCCCTCCTCCTCTTTCTGGGGGAAAAAGCTGGGGGAAAAAGCATTTTCTCCGCTTTCTTAAAATGTTTTCACAGAGGTGCCACCAGGCTGACTGGCTCAGCTGTGTCCTGCGGCGGGGTCACTGGAACCAGCCATGTCTGGCACGGGCAACCCCTGGCCTCTTCTCACAGAGGCCACCACTGTAGCTCCCCTGCTACCAAAGCCTTGCCACCTGCACTCAGTACAACTTTGTAATTCTTCTGGCCTCAAGATCTTCTTTCAGTATGAAGGCATTTACTGAAATTTAATCACAAAAATTAAAATTGCTGTACAGTTACAAGTATTGTACACTTAACTGCAGAAGAAACAGCCCAATAGAAATTGAGCCACAAAAGTCACTCAAATTTTAGTTTAAGTTGTTGTTAAACTTATGATCAGAAAGGACATCGCTGATTGCCAATAATTAACAATGAAAAATCTAGTTTATGAAGCTTCACATACACAGAACATGTGCACATACCAGGAGTCCCATTAGAGGCAATCAAGGCTTAAAGACTTTTGTTTTACTTTGCATCTCTTCTGTGATTTAAAGATAGCTCCAGAGAATCTATAGATTTAAATTAACAAAAATATAGCAGTTTACTAAACCAATCTGATTTAGTCATACAATTTAGAAGAGTAATTTAATTTTCAGAAAATACACACAACTTTCATTCACCTACATTTCTTACCAGTATCTTTACATTCTACTCACAGAAGTCTTCAACTTGACTATCACTTAATGTTCACATTGAACAGGGGAGAAAAAGGAGGAGGAATGATACTGGAACAATGTTAAAAAAGAGGAAAAAAAATTACAACTGACATTTGACAGAAAAATTACCTGATTATCAAATCTAAGAGATTGTGTTCCAACCAAGAATCTTATTGCATCTGTTTCTGCTGTCTGAGGTGTTAAAGCTCGTGCCTAGGGAAGAAGAAAGCCATTAGAAAAGTCCAATTAATAAACACATTAATTTCAGCAAAAATCTTGAAACTTATGTATCAATTATCATTTTAAGCATTACATTCTTACAATCTGCAGACTTTCCTGCCCTTTATGTCTATTTTGGTTAATACATTTTTTTGTGCAGTTTCTCATATTTGTGAGGTGCATGGAACATATAGATGCTAAATACATTATCTAGCCTTCATTATAACAGTGATAATATTCAATATTATAGCAGTTCTTCCAAACTAATTCACCTTTATCAACTGAAAAAACTCCATAGAACAGTGGAGAATTCTTAAATACGCTACCTACAAAATCCAAGAAAGAGGCTGTTCTCACAGAAGTTTTCAAACCATTCAGACTGAAGATACCTGCATAAAAATGAATTCTTTTTCTCACCATTAACCACCAAGTTTAGAAGAAAGTTAAAAAACAAACCCCTTCTTTTCCACTCCAGGCCACCAGAGGTAAGAATTGCGTGAATGATAGGAGAAATAATTTGTTATTTACCTATCAAAATTTTGTCATACTCTTATTATTTTGTTGTATTATTGTTAATGAGAATGCTAGACTCTCTGCCTTGCTTCTTCAACTTGCACCAACCACGGCCTTGGAAGAAGCAAAACAAAACAGTTAAGGGCCATGGGAGACACTGAGAAATAAAGTATAGCTTGAACTGAAACCACAATTGCTAGTTTGCACTAGTCATTAGTAGAGTCTCTCTTAGCTAATTTTGAGTAAATGGGAGGTAAATTAACATTCAAAGGCACTTTTAGCAACCGTAAGTAAACTGTGAGAAATATCCACTACTTCCCATACAAAAGATACCCTAATAATATTGTTCAATATGAATTTTTTGTCAAAACCAAAAAACAAACCTTTACAATTCACATCCTATTTGACATAAAATAGTTCAGATCTCTTCACTAAAGTCTGTATTGCAAGCAAATAGTTCAGAAGGATTCAGGTAACTGTTGAATGGCCCTTCCTACTGCCATCCCCTTGTGCAGCTAGCTAATGATTACATTCTGGATTCAGAACATTTAGCTTCAATATAGTCCTGTTTAAAACTTATTTTTAAATTAATATCAGAAAGATGCCTAGAAGCTTGGAAGGGAATATTTGAAATATATTATACCACAATACATAAATTTAGAACAATTTAATTCTAGAATAAGCAACTTGAAGAGATTTTATTTTTCTTAAACAAGGCAAAGCAATCCAAGCCCTTGTCTGGCAGTAACAATAAGAACCAACTCATTTTTCAGAATAAGCTCTGAACTCCTACAGAGCAGATAAGTTTCTTGCATCTGAAAAGTGTGATTTAGACAAAGTAATATTTTGCTTAAGATTGACCATAAAGAGTTAAAAAACTGCAATGAGCTTAGTAAGTATAGGCTAGTAGTATAACATTTATATAGGAAAAAAAGCACTAGAGAACATGATTCAGTGAGTAGTTTGTGTTCAAAACACACTCAAATGCAGATCAGAGATCAGTGTGAATCCAAACTGATTTGTTTGTACTCTCCTATTTATGCAGCACTTACCTACAACAAGCCTGGACAGTGTTTCTGATTGACAGAAACAACTAATGTTCACCAAGAAGATTGCAGAAAAGCTTTTCTTTTGTCTTGAACATAATTTACATTTGCAGATCTTTGGCAAGAGCTCCTTTTCATTTCAGATCTGCTTTTAATTATTTTGAAGAAAACACTAGAAATAAGCCAACAGCTATGTATCTCTTTCAATCAGTCAAGCTTCTGTTGTTCCTATAAGTCAAACAGAAGAAGAGACTTCCAGAATCTCCAATAAAATAAAGAAATAAAGGGGGTTTTCACACCTTTTAAAGCCTTTCGAGTAAGTCTTATCATGCTGCTTTCAAAAATGCATCAGGTTAGACACAAAGTGCCCAAAATAAAATTATGTCAATACATGGTAACATT